CATCGTCTTCTTCCAAAGAATATCGCTCACAGCAGGACACGCTGCAGAATTCTATATGAGAAACACTTATCCAAAGAAAAATGGAAAACAATTGTCACAATAGATGAAGCATGGGTGTATTTGAATGATTGTAACAAAAAAAAGAGCCATTTATTTATTATCATAAAAGGGGAGAAAAAAATTTAAGTACATGGTTCAAAGAATTGAAAGAAAGTTTTTCTAAGGGATTCATGATTGTTGTTGCTGGTTTTTTCTTATAATGGCAAGTTATAATAAAGAGAGTGCAAAAAATGCCAAGATTAACTCCAAATACTATCAGGAACATATTTTATTGCCAATTTTCCTGAATGAAATACCATCGCTTTACCCACAGTGCCACAGTCCATCCATCAATGTGAGACTCCATCAGGACAAAGCTAGCAGTCACACATCAAAATCCACTGTAAATTTCCTAAAAGAAATGGAACAAAAAACTGGTATCAAGGCCATACCCTTCACTGATATCCCTAATAAATCTTCCGATGCGTCAACTATGGATTTTTGTGCTTTCGGACTTTTAAAAACTGCATTATCCAAACGTTGTCCCAAAATCCTAACAGGACTCTGGAAAGCTGTTCGGGAGGAATGGGATAAAGTACCTCTTCTGCCACTCTTCAAAAGGCATTATTATCCTGGAAATTGCGGTGTCGAAAATAGTTCAGAATAAGGGATGTCAAATAGAACATTTAAAACACACGAATTTTATGTAATTTAGCTTTGCGAATACAATATACATCGTCTAAAAAATGTGTGAACAGCCTCTGTATTAGAATTGCGTATATTTAACGTAAATATATGTATATTTTCCCATTTATTGGAACTAAATAAAATTAGCTTTTCTTTTTCTACAAAATTTTGTGTTATTATTTTCTCTTTTATTTTAACTTTAACAAGTTCTAAATGTTGAAACATTAATAACAAGCAAACATTAATAACACAAAACTTTCTCTCATAACCTTAAAAACAAACACAAACCAGAAAAAAAAACAAAAAAAACCCTACTACCTAAATATTTTATTTTAATTAATTTGTAGGAGTTATTAGGTCCAAGCGTGAAAACAAAATTGCGCAATGCCCTCACTGGACTTCTTAAATTCGCCTCGAGTGTGTTATCCAATTACATCATAAGAGTACACCTAAAGGAGGAACTTTTATAAAATTTTTGTGTGTAAGAAAAAATGAAAGAAACAAATGGATGGTTGAAATGCTATATATATGTGTATATGTAACTACTGGTTAGTGGAACTCTTAGAATAAAATAGAACAATTAAAAAAAGTTAAAAAAAGTAATATGTACATGCCAGTCTCAGCATTTTTTTAAAAAAAAACTTTGTTCAAGTTCTTCTGTTATTTAGTTAGGGTTGTGAAAACAAAATGTATATACATTTACCTTTAGAGTTTTTATTTACATTAACTTTTGTTCTATACAATTAGGGTTTAAAAGTTTGTAATGTTGCGCGCTTCCAACCTGCACGCAACAATAGTGGTGACTGCTAAGAACTGGAAAGTAGACAAAGTCTTGAGAAGGGTTTAAATCCCTTTTTATTCAACTTTAGAAATTACAAATGCGTGCTCTTGACGCTCACAAACTACGCCGACCCGGCAGTAAAATAAAAATAAGAAACTAAGAAAAGAATAGTAACAAGTGACTAACTACGAGGCTCTCTAAACGTAACTAACCTCACCGCGTTCTAAGATACTGCTGATAATTCAGCAAACTTCTGAATATTACGTTGAAAGATTAACAATCTGCCGAGGCAAGCACACAGGCCGAAACGCGTGGTTCTTCAGTTTCTAACTAGCCACCTCCACGCTCGTGAAGCAAGAAAGCACACCTTCGAACTGGTTTCCCTTCTATTTAAATCAGATTACTTCCGCTGACAATTTGAATCCTTGCGCGTTCTACTAAAATTTACATACTCTGGCATTGGCAATTCCAGGGGAAAGTAAGGCTTGACAGGAAAGATAGTTTAAACTTAAAATAAATGTTAGTTAAAATAAATATAAACCCTACAAGTTAAATAAATGTTTTAGCAATTTTCGCCTTTTCAAGATGGGTACCGGTGTTCGAATACTTTTTTGACAGACTGTACAGACCCATTAGTCTACTTCCTTCCATAAGTAAGCTTATGGAAGCAGTTATTCTCAAAAGACTACATGATCATCTGGAAGCAAACAATATACTGATTCCACGAGAGTTTGGATTTCAGAAGTCGTTGTCTACATCCTATCAACTTTATCGTGTAGTGGAACACATCTCTGAAGGAAATCACTACAAGAAGTATACTGGGAATTTATTCCTGGACATAGTGAAAAATTTCGACCGTGTCTGGATGGGCGCACTAATACACAAAATCCACAATCTGGACTTTCCAGATTACATTACACACATAATTAAATCCTACCTGACAGGTAGACACTTTGTCGTTCACCTTTCTAACACTTACTCCACTAAACGTATGGTTTTATCTGGCGTCTCCCAGGTGTCGCTACTAGGGCCTACACTTTTAAATATTTATGTGAATGATATACCCAACACTACACTAGAAATGTATGTTGACGACGCAGCGATCTTTGCTCAAAATGCATTTCTTAGCCCAGTCATACAACATCTTAAAAATTACATGACTAGAGGCCTGGCTACTGAAATGGAAAATTCAGGTGAACGTTGAAAAAACAATTATCATAGTCTTCACTAAGAAGATAAAATTTGAAAAAAATTTCCAGTTTTATGGAACTTCACTGCCCTGGGCTAAGCAAGTCACTTATCTTTATGGGGAGGTCCCTCACATAGTCCCCACATATACACTCTGTTATTCAGTTTCAGGTTCGTAAAGCCCTTAATTGCCCGAAACAGCGTTCTACCTATAGATAATAAGTTACTCATTAATCCTTTCTACGTACCATTGCTCTGTGCTTGCCCAGTCTGGGCGTGTGTAAAACTCGTAAAAAACTGCATACTACCCAGAATGTTGTTCTGCGGCAAATAACAAACGCACCGTACTATATTATAAGCAATGCAATTCATGCGGAACTAGGCAAAATTCCACTGAGAAGGTTTTACTACCACCTGGCCAGACAGTTTCACATTCGTTTACGCTGTGCACAAAAATTAAAACGCTGAACACAGAATTTATAATTACGATTATAAGAACGATACTAAAAGCCAATGTATATTCTTAATCCAAGTATAATCATGGAAGTCTTATTTTTATATTTACTTTGTCATGTTATTCAGTATTTTTTGTTTTTATTTAAGTATATTTATATTTATACCTTGTGTGTATTGTATATATTTGTTCACCATTTGAGACCTATTGATTCAAAATTATCTTGATAACATATATTTAGTAGACAGCTTTGATGCTTGAATTTATAGAGCGTGAATCTCTTCAAAATTTAAATTTAAAAAATACTATATCTCAAATAAGTTACTTTCTAAAATATTTCGAAACTTTCAACTATGTTTAATTTGGAGTAAGGCGGCAGTTTAGTGACCCAAGTGGTGTTAAACACCTTTCCACAAGAAAACTTCAACACTACGCATTGCAGCTAGTTCAAATCTGTAATCATCGTCAAGCGTAATGTCAAATTAAACTGTCACCATGCTCTTTTGTATTCAGTTACTAACAATTAAAAATGTTTAGACATCATTGTGTGAGTCATTTCTCAAGCTGCTATGTGTTGATAGTTATACAGTAATGAAAGCAAAAATAACTATTCGATAGGTTGGCTTCAGGGATACAAATTATTCAGTAGGTGTAAAAAAAAAAAAGATATTTTGATCCAGAATCTTTCGGTTTGAGATATATGCCAAGAAAAAAAGCGGCTACAGAGCTAACTTATTGATCATACAGATTTATGCTAATATTTGATTGTTTCTACAATACGGAGGTATTTTATTTAGTGCCGAAGTGATATTAAGAATCGGACTCCCCACATATTTTATTATGAAAAAATATCAAATTCACATGGATAAACCATACAAGAACAATTTCTAAAAGAAAAGCTTGCTGGTAGTCCAGAGTTCCGAATTTTAGAGGTTTCCAAATATTGGATGTCCAGATTTCTGATTGTATACTGTGATGCTATATAGCGACATGGGTACTAATAGCAAAAGCAGTGTCGTCATTTAAAAGTTTGCTGACAGGGTGAAATGGCACACATTCATCGGTAGCGGGGAAAACTGATTCTCTTCCATCGCACACACAAAACAAGATCCTGAAGTGTCACAAAGGAGAAGCTAAAATACCTTGGGATTTCCACATTCACAGTCACAATGTGTGAGTCTGTGAGGGCCATGGCGTGCTTATTCTAACTGAATTAGTAAAGTGTCTGTTTAATTTGAATCGTGGTTTTGGTTTAATTGGATAACACTTTCAACTGTACATTAGAATTAGTTGAATTTTGAATTTTTGATCAACGCGGTGTCCCGAATGAATCGGTGAACTGGCCAAGCCTGCTATGTAAGTCTGATGCTTGAAGTTCTGGTTTTCATTCTACATACTGTAAAGTTCTCTTTAAGCTAGAATTTCTTCGCTTTTTAGTTGTTTTCTGGAAAATTGCCTTAAATAAATTTCAGCATCATTAAAATCATTCTCTATTTTTGGACTTACTAGTAGCGCACGATTTTAAGCGCATAAAGAACTTCAACATTAGGTTTAGAAAATCTTGGAGATTCATCGTATTGATCCTTACAATCGCAAATATTCTCTTTTTAAATATATTTAGTAACAAAATCAAGAACAGTGGCTATTCAAGCCTCCATCGATAACATTTCCAGAAAAAGGATAATGCTAAAAAGTGTAATGCACATAAGAAGGACAATAACAAAAAGGATAACACTAAAGTAGTATAAGAAAAGAAAATTCTGGAAATGTAAAAAATTCTTTTTCTTTTCTTTTTTTTCCATTTCCCTAACCATTTTTCTGAACTTAAAAATAAGATTTTTATTTGGCAACAGTAATTCGAGCATAAAATGGAGAAAGCGAAAATGGAGAGTGGTAGCGTTTCGCTGTCTGATGAACGAAAAGTTGTTCACTCAAAACGATTAAACACTAAAAATGTTAACAAAACCCCTGCTAAAAGTCGTAGAGTAATATTTAAAAAGAATCGTCCGATAAAATCTCTTCGTGCTATATCAAAGCCCATTAATTCGGAGAGGTTATATTATAAGGGTAGTTACTTTACCAGAGGCGATGTTGTTTCCTTAGTCGATGCGTCTGGGCGAGTCTATTATGCTCAGCTTAGAGGCTTTCTTCAAGATCAGTTTTGTGAGAAGAGTGCTGTTATTACATGGCTTCTTCCAACCCAAGGTAGTCCAAAGGACCGCTTTGATCCTGCAACGTATATTCTTGGGCCAGAAGAAGATATACCGCGAAACTTGGATTGTATTGAGTTTGTGTGTCATGCTCCAAGTGAGTATTTTAAAGCGAAGAGGTCACCGTATCCTGAACTTCCTTCAAAACCAGAAATAGGAGTTATGTGGACAAAATCGGGACCCAAAATTATACCTCTCCCATTGACGGAATTGTCAGATAGTGATTAGTTGTGTTAATGCTGTAATTATTCCATATATACTTTGATTTTGTTATAAAAGTTACACAACCACTTTATTGAAATGCTTTTATCTAATTAAAATATTTTTTGATGCATTTATATCGTAATATTTTGTATTATTGAAGTTTAAATCCCAGTTTCATAAGTATTATTCATAACAGCTTATAGCATTCTGAAAATATATCATTTAAAGGAGGTTGATTTATTTACTTGTCTTATGTATGAAGAGCCTTTTGTTAGATTATATAATGTTAGATAAAAGGAAATAGAAGTTAAATTTTATGCTTAATTTTTTTCATTTTCAAAAGGTAGCTGCTATGCAGTTTTAATACAAAGCTATGTACATTTTTTTGTGATATGCATTATACAGAACCATAAATGGATTTGTTTTACAGAAGAAAATGTAGTTTCAGCACATGTTATGGCATGCCCCAAACTGCTAGCAGATGTAGCTACCATAGTGAAAGAGCTTGTGTCTGTATCACAGAAAAGAATGGATATTTGTAAATTATATAGGGTCATTGCAGTATAGGACATATGAAATCAGTTGTGTCAAAAGACTTTTTGAGAAGTTGATGATAGGGAATGAGAAGATGCAAATCTCTCAGATCTCATCGTGGAAGGTATTCTCACTCAAAATTAAGATTGGTCTGCACATTCTATTAACCATTGGTGGCTCAGAAATTTTCTGATGACATGCACTTCATCTAACCCATAAATATTCATGTGGTTGTTTCAATGTCTGTACATCCAGAGATGGGATAAATAATAACACTTACAACATATCATGCTTTGTAAACTTCAGTTGTGCATCATTCAGTATTTTATGAACTCGGCTTCATGCTGTTGCTTTCTCTTGGCTTGGATATTAAGTGTTGACCAGAAAAGAATTTTTTTTGGCTAATCTTTGGAATATGGTAACAGGTAGTTTGGTGACATTTTGGTAAGGCGATAAAGGTTACTAGCTAGGACTTTAGCAGTGTACATGGATAAACTCAAGAGTGTGCGCAATGCCATTTTTGTGCAATTCTGAGGTGTTTTTTTTTTAAGTGAAAATAGGTCGACGTGTACATGGATACCATGTATGTGTAATTCTTAAAAATGCGGCAAGCAGTTTGCGATTCTGCACTTTCTCCCAATTTCACTCCTAATCTTCGTCATGATTAAGCACTTTTGTTCCGTAAAAGTTCTAAGGTAAAATCCTAGTATATGGTGCAGCCGTTGTGCGATTTTGAAAATTATCGCCAACTCCAAAAATGATCCAAAGAACGTGTATATACTATATACTATGTGTGTATATACATAATATATACTATATATAACTATACATATTTTTTGAATGACCCGTTTACTACTCATCGTATATGTCTCCTTTTTACTGCTCATCATAAAATCGCCAAAAGTAGCCAAATCCCGTGTGTACCGGATACTGGGAATAAAACAGTTCTAGCATAAGCATAATTCGGCTAGCAGATTGTTGAAAAAAATGTAGAGTAAAAGAAAAAAAAAAAAAAAAGCCTCTACGTCGTGAAAACAAAATGCCGTTCAAACAAAAACTAGCTGGTTGCTGTAGCAGGGTTGGTCGCCAAATTTTCGCCAAAAAATCCCCAAGTTACCATAATCCAAAGATTAACCTTTTTTTTTTAAGTTTTACTGAGATAATGAGGAAGCAAACAAGAAAACTGGGCTAATCTTTGGAATATGGTAACAGGTAGTTTGGCGACGTTTTAGTAAGGCGATAAAGGTTACTAGCTAGGACTTTAGCAGTGTACATGGATAAAGTCAAGAGTGTGTGCAGTGCCATTTTTGTGCAATTCTGGGATGTTTTTTTAAGTGAAAATAGGTCGATGTGTACATGGATGTCGTGTATGTGCAATTCTTAAAAACGCGGCAAGCAGTTTGCAATTCTGTACTTTCTCCCAATTTCGCATTTAATCTTCGTCATGATTAAGCACCTTTGTTCCATAAAAGTTCTGGCATAAGCGTAATTCGGCTAGCAGATTGTTGGAAAAAAATGTTGAGTTAAAAAAAAATTTGCCTTTACTTCGTGAAAACAAAATGGCATCCAAAACAGAAACTAGCAGTTGCTGTAGCAGGGTTGGTCGCCAAAAAATCGCCAAGTTGCCATAATCCAAAGATTAACCGAAAGCGGCTCTAAAATCATGTTGCATGTTTTCTACTCAGTGACACATTTTGATATTTAGCAACACTTTACTATATAAGGTTGTGTTTTCATACATTGTAAGAGAGGATTCATCGTCAAACATTTCATGAAACTATGATATATTTATTGCAACCTAGTGTGGGAAGTATATGCAGAAATCTTGGTATCTCTTTACATTTCACTTAGGGACTGTAATCAAACTTAGTTAGTAATTAATTTTTTGATATGATTGCTTTTTCTTTTAAAAAAAACTTGTTTCATTTGCAAAACTATTAAATAGAAATTGCCAAGAAGCTTCAAGGTTTTATGTAGTTATAAAGTGGTAACATCTAGTTGCATTATAAATAAAAATATTCGGTCTTTCCCAGATGTTCCCACCTAACTACAATCTGTAGATGGAGCCTTCTGAGCAGTAGTCGCGAAATTTGTTGGTATGTTATACTTATTAATGTGATATTTATAATATTTTCTCTGTCATTTTTTATAGTAATCTAAATATTATTCTAAAGAATAGAAAGTTATGAAAGTAGAGACTGAAATGAGTAATTATATAATGCTAGGTAATGAATGTTGTGTGGATACATTTTTTTCTGTAAGTAATATGTGTTACGTTACACATTCTAAAAATTTGTAGGTAAATTTTTATCTTTAAATCTGTGAATTTAAAAATGTATGTATGTGTATGAAGATTTAAAAAATAATTTAATCTTTCTGTTATGCAAAATTTAATTATCTTTCTCTATATATGCTTTAGGCATGTAATACAGAATTGCAGTATTTAAATGATTTTTTTAGTTTTATAATTTGCACATCTACAGCAATTTGTTTTATTATTAAGGCTAAACTTTACAGTTGGGAGTTTTGAACTAAATAATTCATTTATTCAAGTAACTTTTTTCTCCCCAATCTAGTATTATTTTTATCTTTTTTGGTCATCTTTATTATAGAAAGTTTATTATGGAAAGCACCTAAGGATTAATCTTCAGATTGTGTATTATTAGCAACTAGTGGAATTATGGTTGTGGGTTACAATAAATTAATTTCTGACATTCACTGTGTGCTGATAATACTAAGTTGTATACATCATAAAAACACAAATGCTGTGTATATATTATACATTTATGCTGTCGGACATAATTTCCCTAGTGTTTCATGGCTTGCTGCCTTCTTCCCAAAACTTCTTTTTGTTCAGTGTTATGAACCCTTGCAACAATGATAGTATATAGCCTTTGAATGTAATGAAAGAACTGATGTAATATGTATTAAAAGTTTTTGGTCCCTCTTTATTGCATTTGTTGAACTATTAATTAAATCTCATGTTAAATTCAAATGTTAAATGATTTTTTCATGTACGTGTAATTGTAGTAATAAGCTTGATAAAACCATGGAGGTAGGAAGTAAGGAAAGGCCCTAACTGGTCACTACTTTGAAGCTCTGATGATCCCTTCGTGGTGACTAAAACACCGAGTGACTTACCATTAAGATCAATAGGTTTTGTCAGGATCGGATGTAAATATACGTATAAATGTATATATTTCCCTTTTCTACAATATTTCAGAGACTATGAAGAGTATGTGAAAAGAATGCATTTTTAAACAACATTTCATTCTGACTGGAATTAAATGCTATACTTTTCACAGAGCAGTTTAATTTGAATGAAATAAATATTTTCACAAGTTTTCATTAATTACATTAGGAAAAAATTTTGAGGTAATCCGATTTTATTCAGTTAAGGATTACAAAAATTAAGATAAAGGTTTATTGTATTATTAATAATTAAATTATTAAGTTTATTGTATTATTAATATTTATTATTTTCTATTTATAGAGCTTCTTCCTAAAATACTTTCTCAAATAGGATATGATTCTTTATCTTCTGAGGCATCTTTTAAATCAAAAAAATCTAAGTAAATTTATAATTAATGCTCTATTCGGTCCATTTCAAATTAGAATACCTTTTATTTTAATAGTAAAATATGTTAAATATAGGTGCTCATTTCTGTGTACTTAACTTTCTGAATAATTCTGAAAGGGAATAAAAAAAGGATTATTTAAAATTTGTAACTGAGTTATTATAAAATGTAAGGGAATAATTCTTTTTAATTATAGTTATTAGATTTTTTTACCTTTAATTTCAACAATACATATTCTAAAACTCTTCTTTATTACGTCCTTAAGTACACATCTTGTAGAATTTGCTTTACAATACCTTTTAACAGATTGCTTTCCAGTACGAACAATTTTTGCTTAAATAGTTTTATAAACATATTTATCAACAGGATTTAAATTTATGTTTACAATTCAATGTTAAGGTTATTATATATTTTGATAATATTTATAATCATTATAATTTAGATACATTTAATAATTAGATTTCTTCGCAGTAACAAGAGTTTATGAATGAATAAATCCTTTATTTCAAATACATTTATAAATAATTTAATAAATATTTACATATTTTGTTAAAGGCAGGTATATGCTTTTTGCAAGCATATGCATAAATACCCATACATATTTCACAATTTTCATTTTCGCCCTGTGCAAATTTTTAATTTCTGTGCATTCACTCTTTTGAGTAAAGTAATTTACAATAATTTAGCAAATACCCAAAATTTTACGTGAGAAATATGTTTAAATATAATTTGAATGAAAATTACATGCATTATTTTTAATATCCACTCATAGGTAAGTTTTTCTTTGAAATTCCTCCGCAATGGCATCTCTTCCTTTAGGCAGATAGCCCATGCATGCCTTACTCTATTTAATAAAAACTTAACCTGATCTATGTACCTAATTACAAATATTTTAACATGTGTTATTTTATATTTACATTTAGCCATCAAGTTTCAAACTTTTGACTTAGAATACATTTATCAAATTCAAATCTTCTAGTAAATATATTTTGGCAGAGCCAAATATTAATTTTATATTAATT